AAACTGGGAGAACGATTCTAGTGGGGTCCCGCAGGGGTCAGTCCTGAGTCACGTACTATGCAATATTTTCATTAATGGCTTAGCTTATGGAGTGGAGAATATAAATATAATATTTGCAGATGACATCAGGTCGAGAGGAAGTACAAATACTTTCGAGTACAGGACTAGATATTGAAACAAAGTTGACAAATTAGCAAATTGGTCTGGAATCAATAAGATGAAATTCAATAAGGACAAGTGCAAAGTGCTACACTTAGGAAGGAAAAATCAAATGCAGAGCTACAAAATGGGGAATCTCTGGCTAGGTGCTAGTAGTGCTGAAAAGGATCCGGAGGCTATAGTGGATCACACATTGAATATGAGTCGGCAGTGTGATGCGGTTGGGGAAAAAGTTAGTATCATTCTGGGGGGTATTAATAGGAGTGTCCTATGTAAGACACTGAGGTAATTGTCCCACTCTACCTGGCACTGGTGAGTACATCTCGATGTGCAGAAAGATTAGCAAATATGGCAGGCGACCATCTTGGCTTAACAGAGAAATCTTCGGTGAGTTTAAACACCAAAAGGAAGTTACAAGAAGTGGAAACTTGGACAGATGACTAGTGAGGAGTATAAAAATATTGCTTGAGCATGCAGGGGTGTAATCGGGAAGGCCAAAGCACAACTGGAGTTGCCTCTTGCAAGGGATGTGAAGGGTAACAAGAAGGGTTTCTACAGGTATGTTATCAAGAAGAAGAAGGTCAGGGAAAGTATGTGACCCTTACTGAATGGGGGAGGCAACCTAATGACAGATTATCTAGAAAAAGCTGAAGTACTCAATGCTTTTTTTGTCTCAGTCTTCACAGACAAGGTCAGCCCCCAGACTGCTGCACTGGGTAGCACAGTATGAGGAGGAGGTGAGCAGCCCTTAGTGGTGAGAGAACAGGTTAAGGGCTATTTAGAAAAGCTGGACAGGCACAAGCCCATGGGGCCAGATGCAATGCATCCGAGGGTGGTGAGGGAGTTGGCTGATGTGATTGCAGAGCCATTGGCCATTATCTTTGAAAACTCGCGGCAATCGGTGGATGTCCTGGACGACTGGAAAAAGGCTAATATAGTGCCCTTCTCTTAAAAAGGGAAGAAGGAGAATCTGGAAAGGTACAGCTTTATCTCAGTGCCTGGAAAAATCATGACGCAGGTCCTCAAGGAATCCATTTTGAAGCACTTGGAGGCCAGGAAGGTGATCAGGAACAGTCAACATGGATTCACCAAGGCCAAGTCATGCCTTACCACTAGATTTCCTTCTGTGATAAGATAACTGGCTCTGTAGATATGGGGAAAGCAGTGGATTTTGATACAATCTTCAACATTATTCTTGCCAGCAAGTTAAAGAAGTATGGATTGGATAAATGGACTACAAGGTGGCTAGATCGTCGGGCTCAACAGGTAGTGATCAATGGCTCAATGTCTAGTTGGCAGCCGGCATCAAGTGGAGTTCCCCAGGGGTTGGTCCTGGGGCCAGTTTTATTCAGCATCTTCATTAATGATCTGGAGGATGGCATGGATTGGACCCTCAGCAAATTCGTGGATGACATTAAGCTTGTGGGGGAGGTACATACGCTGGAAGGTAGGGATAGGGTCCAGAGTGACCTAGACAAATTAGAGGATTGGGCCAAAAGAAATCTGATGAGGTTCAACAAGGACAAGTGCAGAGTCCTGCACTTAGGATGGAAGAATCCCATCCACTGTTACAGGCTGGGGACCATCTGGCTAAGCAGCAGTTCTGCAGAAAAGGACCTGGGGATTACTGTGGATGAAAAGCTGGATATGAGTCAACAGTGTGCCCTTATTGCCAAGAAGGCTAATGGAATATTGAACTGCATTAGAAGGAGCATTGCCAGCAGATCGAGGGAAGTGATTATTCCCCTCTCTTTGGCATTGGTCAGGCCACATCTGGAATATTGTGTCCAGTTTTGTGCCGCATACTACAGAAAGGATGTGGACAAATTGGAGAGAGTCCAGCGGAGGGTACAAAAATGATTAGGGTGCTGGGGCACTTATGAGGGGAGAATGGGGGAACTGGTCTTATTTAGTCTTCAGAAGAGAAGAGTGAGGGGGGATTTGATAGCAGCTTTCAACTACCTGAAAGGGGGTTCCAAAGAAGATGGAGCTCGCCTGTTCTCAGTGGTGGCAGATGACAGAACAAGTTGCAGTGGGGGAGGTTTAGGTTGGATATTAGGAAAAACTATTTCACTAGGAGGGTGGTGAAGCACTGGAATGCGTTACCTAGGAAGGTGGTGAAATCTCCTTCCTTAGAGGTTTTTAAGGCCCGGCTTGACAAAACCCTGGCTGGGATGATTTAGTTGGTGTTGATCCTTCTTTGAGCAGAGGGTTGGACTAGATGACCTCCGGAGGTCTCTTCCAACCCTAATATTCTATGCTTCTATGATTCTACTGTGTCCAGTTCTGGGTGCCACACTTTAGGAGAGATGTAGAAAAACTGGAGAGGGTCCGGAGGACAGCCACAAAAATAGTTAAAGGTTTGGAAAACCTGACCTAGAAGGAAAGGTGAAAAAAACAGGGTATGTTTAGTCTAGAGAAGAGGAGGCTAAGGGGGAACCTGAGAACAATCTCCCAATATATTAAGAGCTGTTCTAAAAAGTATGAGGGTCAATTGTTCTCCATGTCCGCTGACGGTAGGAAAACAAGTAATGAGCTTCATCTGCAGCAAGGGAGATTGTGGTTAGTCATAGGAAAAAACTTTCTAACCCTAAATGGAGTTAATCTCTGGAATAGGATCGCAAGAGAGGTTGTAGAATCCCCATCACTGAAGGTTTTTAAAGCCAGATTAGACAAAAACCTGTCAGGGATGTTCTAAGTTGACATGGTCCTGCCTCACAAGAGGAGGATAGACCAGGTGACTGCTTGATGTCCCTTCCAGGATGATATTTCTATGATTCTACTCTATGAAATGTCTTCTGAGATGAAATCCCCTGTGCTTTGTTCCCCTCCATTGTCCGTTATCTGGCGACCAGCTAGCCAGAGTCCAGGGAGTTCTGAAACATTACACCGAGAAAATAAAGCTGGTCTTGAAAGCTTTCTAAGAACCAGGAGAAGAAGGAAATTACTTAGCTCATGGGGAATGGAGAAATAACAAATTTGCAGAGAAAGATGTAGACATTTAATAGTCTTGCTGGTGCAGGCCACAGGCGGTGCGGTGGGGGGTGGGCGGTTTGCAACCACAAATGCCCCTCCCCAGATTAGCTACTTAGCTTATACTGACCATGCTAACATGGACTGAGCATGCTGGATAGCACTGCTGAAACCGGCTGCCCTCATTCTGCGCCCCCACTATGGGCAGGCATGGGTCATCTCTGTCGGGGACCATCAATCCGACCTGTAGACCCACCATCCCAGTCCAGAACTCTGACTCTCAGAGAGCTCCATTTGTGCTCCCCAATGTCTGACTCTGAGAACTGTTTCCATTCATGACACGGCCGTGCGTGGGGATGCACCTTTCACTGCCACGGAGACAAGGAGATATCCCTGCTCAGATGTTCAGCTTGACAGTCAGGCCTCAGGGATGATAGCCTGCTACAGATGGAAGGGTTTTACCATTCAGGCCATGGACACTGGGGGTTCATCAACACCACAAAAAAACCCCACTGCAGCCAGTTTCAGAGGCCGAGTCAACTGATCCCGTAGGACGGACCAGACTGGACACAGCCCCAGCTGTGCAGAGCCCAAGATGCTGAGTGTCTGCACGTGTTGGGGGCCCGTCCTTTCTCCAAGCCATGTGGTGGGGTGTACATGCCCCAGGACAGCCTAGCACCCACCTACGCATTGGGAACCTGACCCTGAGGTTGCCTATCCCCACCCAGCTGGGGCTGTAACCCCTCTGGGCCCAGGCAGAAGGGCTGCCCCCTCCTCAGACAGGCCATGAAGATGCTGCTCATGGGGGATGGGAAGACATCATCTGGGAATGAATAAGGGGTTCTCATGCTCTGTGGGTGCTGTCTGAGTCATATTAGGGTACCCTGAGGGAGTGGCACGGATGAGAAGACCAGGGAGTTTTATGCATTTATGGGTCATGTCTTCAAACTCTTCTCCACAGCTTCGTGGGCTCAAAACGCCTAATTTACCACAAGAGAAGGTAAAATTTGCAGGTGATCCCATGATTCCTGATGCTGGGGCTTTACGAAATACCAAGGTATTTCAGGAGAGTTTGGACCTTGATGGAGAAATGGGGCCGGGGCCTCAGTGCAATTTTAAGCCACTTTCTGTGGCCCAGAATTGTGGGCGTGTGAGACGTTCAAATGTCTGGACAGCCAGGGTCACATTTCCAAGTGGATACCCCTGTTGTGTGGGGACGTTTGCTCTTATCTCAACCATGCCAGCCATGGGGCAGGCCCAGAGGAACACGGCTCCAGCACCGTCTGTTTAAGGCCTTCCCCATCACCCATCACCATGGTATCAGTGCTCCTCCACGTCCAACGTGGTCTACGTGCTCCCCATCTTCTGGGAGAATTTCTGCCATGGGCTCTGTGGCTGGGCTACAGGAAGTCACAGCAGGGCCCCCATCCCCTTCTCACTGCTCTGAGACGCACACTGGGACAGAAGCAGGGAGCTGAGCCAAGCCAGCCGGTGACTCAGCGTCGGCCACACTCCCCGCCAGATGAGCTGCTGGAGCAGAGGAGACGGGTGAGCTCCAGATGAGCCCAGCGCCAGGTGTGCTGGGCTCCAGGCAGGCCCCAGGGGGCCCTGCTCCCAGATGTTGTCGGGGGGGGGGGGAAGAGATGTCCTGTTCCAGAGGGATTTTCCCCTGAGCTCCTTCCTTCAGAGAGAGGTTGTTTTCCAGCCACCAGATCCCTCCCTCTTGCCCCCCATGTGTCAGTGGAGAAATGCTGAGGTTTCTGAGGGCGCCTGCATGGTTGCAGCTCCCCACGAGGGGAGAGCAAACGTGATCTGCGGTTTCCTGCTGACTCTATAAATCCCCCAGTACTGAGGCACGAGCACTGTCACTTTCCCCAGATGGTGACGATGCTGATCCTGATCCTGTTGCCCATGGCCTTTCTCTTGCCCCCTGGGGCTGGGGCTGGTGAGTATGTGGGGGGAAGGGGTCAGGGATCCTGGGGAATGGAGCCAGGAGCTCGCTGGGCTGTTTGCAAATTCTGGATCCTCCCCAGAGTAAGATGCATCTACCAGGGTGATTTCTGGCTCCCAGGACGCAGCTAGGGAAGAGTTTGGAGGTGGGGGTGAAGGAGTTGGGTGGTGGAGCTGGTGTTGAGATAAAGCCCCCGAGAGATACATAGAGAGCCTGAGAACAGGAGAGAGACACAGGGGTACCTTAACTAGGAGCTAGGAGCCAAGACTCCTGGGTTCTATTCCCTGCTTGGGAGTGGTGTGTAGTGATCAGAGTGGAGCTCTGGGATGGTAGTCAGGACTCCTGGGTTCTAGCTCCTTCTTCCTTTGTCTGTGGTGTCATTTTAAATTGAAGCTCTTTAGGGAAGGGACTGACTTTCCCTGAGGGTCTGTGCAGCACTCGGCACAACGGGGATCTCATCTGGGTTGGTGGCACCATATCCAAATAACAGCACCAGACTGTTAAATCAGCCTCGTTCATATGGACGTTAAACTAACATCGATGAGTCGTCTGTTAAATTCAGATGTGAGCTGCACACAAACTTGTATTGCTTTAATTATCCTGATTTTAAATCACATCTGTAGTTCAACTGGTTCAGCTCTGCCTGTGGCTGCCCTAATATTGATTTAAACTTGGCCAAAGTGTCGGAAACTTCCCAGGGGCCAGTTAACCTCAGAGAACCAGCCTTCAACCCATACAAGTGCCTCAAGAAGTGCATTTGCACAGGGCTAAAACAAACCATGCAGTCTGGCAATTCCTAATTCCTGCATCCCTCTGATAGTTAGAGACCTTCTCACTTCCACCTCCCAGTTTATCCCCTTTTGTTCTTCTATCTACATTGTCCTTCAGCTTCACCAGCTCTTTCCCCCTTCCTGTCCCCTCCACCCTGATGTCTTTACATTGATTGTCTAGCTTTGACTTCATCCACCTGGGCTGAGAAGTTTCAGAGTTGGTCTAAAAAGTTTTTCCCTAGGAAATTTCAACTTTTCATTGAAAACCCCCAAAGTAATTTGTTTTCTAGTAATTTTTTATTAATTTTTAAAAGATATATATAGAGAGTGAGAAAACAAAGAGCAAAATATACATAAACTTCTCATAATGCATAAATACCTCATAAGATATTAAGTATTTGCTACTTCACCTTAGCTAGGCTTGAAACATTTAGTTATCTGAAATGTGAATGGTTAGAATATCAATCCCTTATTGTATTCCACAATTTACAAACAAAATATGCTTTATAAAAATCCAGCTAGTTAAAGAAAAATTATTAAAGTAAGATAATGGCTAGAAGCAAAATTCAAATGAGAGGGATAGATACAGGGAGCGGAAGTGGCTAGGGAAGAGAGGGGTTAAGGTGGACTCATGCATTTGATAGGATCATCAGATACTTCCAGGAGAGCATCTCACATCTCTAACAACTTTTCTTGGGAAGCTCTTTCCATGGTAGCCAAGCTTGGGATGTCTATGCTCTAATCTTCGACTGCTGGTTGCTTTTTGGATTTCCGTTTTGGTGGTACTTGTCTTTTCAATGGTGTTAGTGCTCTGCTTAGCCAAAGTCTTTCTGATTTATTCTGCTTCCAGATAACACCCACTAGGTTGAAAATGACATGGTTAATTTTATTTGATAGGGGAAAAAACCCACTGTCCCCTTCAATTCCACCCAAAGCCGACCGGTCTATGAGCATGTGTGTTAAGTCAGCACATGCTAGTCACAGCTGACTTAGCAGCACCTGCATTGTACATTGAAGAGGGGTCCAATGCATCTTCCATATGATTCCTGTGGAATTAATGTTAAATGTAGCTCCAAGGAGCAGTTCAGAGAACTGGCTACAATTTGTTTCCATTTGGTTAGCAGAAAATTATTGTCTAGTTTCTCCTTCCAATGCTTTTTTAGGGCATCAGTGTTTAGTTCAAATTTGCTGGCCAGCTGTGCATAATGTTGCCATCGATCCTGGCAATCTGGGTAACATTTGCAGAAACAAAAGCAGTAATGAGTGAAGGGCAGCGAAGGCAGCAGTGCTAAACAGATGGGGGGCGGCATGTTTCCCTTGCATACCTCGCCACTCCATCTTAGTCTGTAGTGTGACCAAAATTAAAATTGTTTTGGTGACTAAAAACATACAAATTTTCAGCTGAAAAGTGCCAAAAACTGGGGGGAAATAATCAGTTTTTCAAGAAAAATGCCAAAATGTTTGAGGCAAGAAGACGCCTTCTGGGAAACTTTTCATTGTCTAAAAAATCCGATTTTCTGTACAAAAACAGTTTGGAGGGGCAGCTTTGGAGCAGTCCTGGCTTCTCGCTGGGGGTTGATGGAAAAGGTGAAACTTCAGCAGGGGACGTGTCAGTGGCGTTCTGGGTGAGACTGACCCCAAAGCTGTTAACTCCAGGCAGTGCATTTGGCACTGAGTCTCCACCCAGTGAGGTCAGAGCTTTAGATTTACCTGTCGGCCCCATGGGGTATCCAGTGTGGGGCAGAGCTGAGGAGGGGGCAGGGTTCCAGGCACAGGGATCCCCCAAGGAGAGAATGGGTTGAGACTGTGGAGACTCCCCTTCGGGATGGGGAGCTCAGTCCCAGCCTGGCCCAGGGAGATGATGGGGCTCTTAATATGAACCTGGTCTGCCCCCGGGCAGGGCCGGCTCTACCATTTTTGCCACCCCAAGCAAAAAAAAAAAAAAGCCCTTACTGTGCCGCCCCTTAGCATGTGCCGCCCCAGGCACGTGCTTCCTCCGCTGGTGCCTGGGGCTGGCCCTGCCCCCAGGTGAGATCATCGGGGAACAGGAAGCCCAGCCCCAATCCAGACCCTACATGGCCTATCTGTGTATACGATGTGCAGAGTTCCTGGTCAAGACAAACTTTGTGTTGGCAGCCGCTCACTGCAATGGAGAGTAAGTGCTTCTGTGCTGGGGACATCAGGGCAGATTGGGGTTAGCAGGTGATGGGGGAGCCGGGAGCTCTGACGCCATCATAGATTGCAGGGAAGGAGCAGTGAGTGTGACAGGCTGGGAGAGCAGAGCCCAGGGGTCTGATCTGCTCAGGGGGCGTCGCATGTCTCCAGGGGCCTCTGCAAACCATGGTCCAGATCCAGCGCTGGGTAAATCAATGGGGCTATGGCCATTGACACCAGCTGGGGTCTGGCCCATTGCCGACATGGGGAATGGAGGGGCTCAGAGCCCCAGGACTTCTCTGCAGGGCTCCGGACAGGGGGGAGCTGGGCATAGACCCATCTGGATCTAGCTGGGAGGGGTCAGCTGGCTGAGGGGAGCTGAGGCCCAGGGGTCAAGGGAAATGAAGGAGTCTGAGATCACTGCCTGAGCGTCCCAGGCTGATCTCCCCCACCCCAGACATTCCTTCTCTCAGGCAGTGCCCAACCCATGAGCATCAAGGCAGGGAGCCAGGGAGAGTTAGGAGCCATGTTCAATTCCAACTCCCATCGGCTCCCTTGGCAATCCCAACCCTGGCCCCTAGGCTGCATCTTTGCTAGGGAAACAGCTGGTTTATTTCCCCTGGGGTAACGGACACGGGCCAAACCCTGGGGCAGACCTGGCAGTTTGTAGCTGTCCCCCATGTCAGCCGATAGAGTGACCCTTTACTGGAGATCCTCGTCATTATCTGACCTGCTAACTCTCATTAAAACTGCAGTCTGCCCTGTCCTCACTGGGCCTTTTACATCTGCTATTTCCCCAGGGGTAGCCACTGCCCCTTCCAAAGACACCTGTTCCCAGTGCTGACAAGGAGAGCGGGTGTTTGTTCATGGGAAGAGAAATTAGAAAATTATGCAGTGAACTGATTTCAGCTGAAATGACAGCTCTGAGTACCTCCTTCTAACCCCCCCTTGACCTGACCTGACCTGACCTGCCGCAGGGCCTAGTGCATTTCGCTCGCTGCCTCTTACCCAGCAACGAATAAAAATGAAGTTGCAAAACAATGAAGTGGTGCCTTCCTGGGAATTGAATGAATGCCCCCAGCCTCGGACTCCCAGCTAACTTGTACCTAGCAGGTGTAACCAGGGTTTTGGGCCCCAGTGGGGAATTCACCCCCTGAGTTTGAGTAATTCATGCTGGATCTGCTAAAAATACAAGGGAAATCACAGGTGAAAAAGCAAATCACTGTGTCTGTTGTCAGCTCTCCTGACTCTGGTATCCCACCACTGACACCTAGTCCAGCTCGCTTACAACAGGAGTGCACTTTAGGCCCACTGGAGGAGAAATCAGTACCAGGGTATTCTTAATTTCCCTTATACGTCATTCCTCTTCCACTCTGCACCTGTCTGGGGACAGTGGGGTCACAAACAGCAGGCAGGCCAGTCCCCTCCATCAGACATCTCAGCCCAGATGTCAAGGCCTGATCCCAAACAGCATCTGTGTGTCCCCCCTGCCTGCCTGACACTAATCAGGGGCTATTCAGGCAGGGGGCAAAGAAAATACATGTCAAATCTAGCCCAGTGCTGCAGGGATTAATGGACCAGACACGGCTCTGATGCTCTGGGAAGAGACATCTCAGACTGGGACTTGGCACCATCCACTGATGCCTGTTAGTGTCATCTCATTGTTCCCCTGGTTCTTCCCCATCAGCCTGTCTGTATCCACTTGTTTTCTCCTGTCCGATAACTAGACTGTGAGCTACTGGGGACAGGGCCCATCACTGTGTTTTTGTTTGTACAGCACCTGGCACAGTGGGGTCCTGGGCCATAGCTGGGAGTCTACCTAGGTACTACAGTGATACACCTAACAAGTCATGTACAGTTGCAATGGGATCCTTTGCCATGACTGGGTCTTCTAGGTGCTACCATAATACACCTAATAAACACCGTACAGCTGCCAGCACAATGCAGCCCTGGTCATCTGAGAGCCCCGGACATGCTCCATGTCTCAGGTTGGACACCAGGAACCAGAGTCACCCCAGGGTCCCAGCTCAAGCTGCTATCAGACCTGCAGGTGTCACAGCGCCGGGCAGA